CGAGAGAGAGAGAGAGAGAGAGAGAGAAAGAAAGAGAGAAGAAAGAAAGAGAGAGAGAGAGAGAGAGAGAGAGAGAGAGAGAGAGAGAGAGAGAGAGAGAGAGAGAGAGAGAGAGAGAGAGAGAGAGAGAGAGAGAGAGAAATCCAAAACAAACAGCGGAAGGGATGGCGGAACGATATCCTGACAGCATTTCGGTAATTCTCTCGTATCAAACCAAATATCAAACTAGTCGATTTATCCTGTATGTCAGATCCCGAGTTAAGACTTAGTTGCAATAATAATAAACAAAAATAGATTATTTATACACAGGACCATGATGCAATAAAAAGAAAAAAAAAATAACGCCAACCTCAACGACAATTTTTTTTTTTGATAGAATTCGCTGAAGCATTCTGATTGGCTGGGAGTGAGCGTCGTAGTTTCCGTCGCAGCCAATGGCATTTAAGGAATACGAAGGGTCTGATAACGTCAATTTCTCTTCTATGCAAAATAAGGGAAAAAAGTCTCAGATTGCTACCAACCCATAGTAGAAGAGGAGAGGAAAGCAGGTTAGGGTACATAGACTAGCCCCGACGTGAAGAAAACCAAGTGTTGTTCCGAACTTCAGTCCTTGAGATCTGTTTTGACGGGGCGCGTTGCTGACCCTGCACCCTGCCCAGCACTCGGGTTGCTCAGCAGACCAGTTGGCGTCTGCAATTTGGACGGAATGGATCGGCTCCCTCGTGGCGGCGGCGGAAGTCGGAGCAAGATGTCCTACGACCTGGGAAGCGGCTTACGAACGCGAGACCGTGTACGCCGAGAGGGGGACGTCCGCGCCCAGGGCGTCTCGCGGCCAAGGGAATTCCTCGCGGGGCAGCGGCGCCTCGAGGCGGAAGGCAGCCCCGGCGATCGAGAGGGAGTCTTCTGCTCGCGGAGGAAGGGCCTCGGGGACGCCATCACGCCAGAGAGGAGCCTCCAGTAGCGGGAAAGCGGTCGCCATCCGCCAGGGAGGAGGGCGGCCTCCTGCGGTCCAGCAGAGGGCCTCCGACTCCTACGAGAGAGGAATTGTGGCCTACAAGAGAGCGACGGCAGACCTCCACCGGGGAACCATTTCCTACGAGCAAGGAACCGTCTTGTACGAGAGAGGAGGCGCATCGGCGTCGCACTCGAGTCGAGGAACTGCCTCGGGCAGGAAAACCATCGCAGGAGGAGGAGGAAGAGGAAGGAAGACCTCCATGAACGCGAGCGAGGTCGTCGTCCACGAGGACTTCAGCTTCGGCCGCGACGGAGACGCCAGCGGGAGCGACCTCATGTTCTTCTACATGTAGGAGCTGCTGCGGATTTGCGACTGGCCTCGGGAAATAGTCGGAAGTTTTAGTGGAACAGCCTTGAATTTAAGCATTATAGTGGACGTCCAAGAATTGAAGGAAATTATTAGAACAACATCAGAAAATGCAACTGATGTAGTGCTTTCTTGATTTGAATTTTAGCGGAAAATAAGTGTTTAGTTGCAGTTTTCACATTTCTCCTGAGTTTATTTCAATTCACGAAGAGTCATTTTGTTTCCAAAATTATGAATAAAGGTCCAAATGAATCAAGTGTTTATTATCCAATTTTTTACACCATGACACGGAAAATATGAGAACACAGCCTGCGTGTTGAGAGCTAAATGTCCCTTATTAAACAAAATGAAAAAGAAAAAAGTTTCAATAGTTACATGATGTGAAAAAGATCATTTCAAATTTTCTCCATTTTACAATTATTATAAGGCACAGACTGAATCATGCACAGCATATACATAGCAGCTACATTCACCCCTTTCTAAATGTAATGGATTTGGTAGACGCGAGACGGCGCCGCTTTTATGACAGCATGACCCGAGATAGGGCATGGAAAACACATTTTAAGAAAAGGATTGTCAATCATGATCGTTGATTGAAAGCTGGATAAGATAAATTAAGTGCAATGCTCGCCGCGTGGTCTGTCGCTTGCTCTGGTTGTTTTTTCTACCACCACGCTCAAACTTCAATCCTTCCCTCACCTCGGTCTTCATCTTTCTTTCTTCCACTCTTATTCCCATTCCCCTCTTCCCCCTTTATCCTTATCCCCTCTCTCCATCTATCTACGAGAGTCACTCCTCATATTCCCTCTCTCTCTCCGTCTCTTCCTTCCTCTCTCCGTCCTTTCTTCTTTGATGCACAAATTTCTCTACCCTTTTCTAATTCCTTTTTGTACGACTCCCTTTTATCTATAATATCCCTTCTTCATTCCGTTCCACCATCATCACCCTCCTCTTTCTCCTCCTATTCCTTCTTTTCGTCTTCCTCTTCCTGCTCCTCATTTTCTTCCTCTTCCTGCTCCTCATTTTCTTCCTCTTCCTCCTCCTTTTCTTCATCTTCCTCCTCTTCCTCTTCCTCTTCCTCTTCCTCGTCCTTTTCTTTCTCCTCCTCCTCCTCCTCTTCCTACCCCTTTTCTTCCTCCTCCTCCTCTTCCTACCCCTTTTCTTCCTCCTCCTCCTCCTCTTCCTACCCCTTTTCTTCCTCCTCCTCCTCCTCCCTCCTTCTCATTCCCTTCCTCCTCCCACCTTCACCCCGCTTTCCCCTTCGTGCCTCTCTCTGCCCCCTCCGCCCCTTTCCATCTCACCCCCCTCCCCCCTCACCTGCACCCCTCTTTGCTCCCTCCTAACCTCTCCTTCTCACCCCCACCCCATCTTCCCTCACTCCCCTTCATCCCCCTTCTATAACGTCCCCCCCCCTCTCTCCCTCCCTCCTCCCTCTCTCTCCTCTCTCTTTTCACCTCTCTCTCCCTCTCTCCCTCCTCTCCCTCTCTCCCTCTCTCCCTCTCTCCCTCTCTCCCTCCTCTCCTCTCCCTCTTCTCTCTCTCTCTCTCTCTCTCTCTCTCATCTTCTCTCTCTCTCATCCATCCTCTCTCATCTCTCTCTCTCCCCGCCTCTCTCTCTCTCTCTCGGTCCCCTCTCTCATCTCTCTTCTCAGTCTCTCTCTCTCTCTTCTCTCTCTCTCTCTCGCACCTCTCTCTCGTCTCCCTCCCTCTCTCTCCTCCCCTCTCTCCCTCTCCCTCTCTCCCCTCTCTCTCTCTCGCTCTCTCTCTCATCATCTCTCCGCTCTCCTCTCTCTCTCTCTCCCTCCTCCCCTCTCCGCTCTCTCTTCTCTCTCTCGCTCTCCCCTCCCTTCTCCCTCTCCCTCCCTCTCCCTCTCCCTCTCCCTCATCCCTCTCTCCCTCTCACCTCTCCCTCTCCCTCTCCCTCCTCTCTCTCCCTCTCCCTCTACCTCCTCCCTCTCCCTTCTCCCTCTCTCTCTCTCTCTCTCCCTCTCCCTCTCTCTCTCCCCCTCTCTCTCTCTCTCTCTCTCTCCCTCTCCCTCTCCTCTCCCTCTCCCTCTCTCTCTCCCTCCCTCTCTCTCTCCCTCCCTCCCCCTCTCTCCCCCCTTCCCTTATTTACCTTCTATAACTCCTCTCACCTTTGTCCCTCCTCCCGGTCCCTCGCTCTCCCTTTCCGCCCGTGCACTAAGGAATCCCCTCTCTCCCTCCTCCCTCTCTCTCCTCCTTCCCTCCCTCCCCCTCTCTCCCCCCTCCCCCTCTCTCCCTTTCGCCCTCCCTCCCCCTCTCTCCCTTTCTCCCTCCCTCCTCCCTCTCCTCCCCCCCTCTCCTCCTCCCCCTCCTCTCCCTCCCTCTCCCCTCCCTCTCCTCTCCCCCTCCCTCTCCCTCTCCCCCTCACTCTCCCCCTCCCTCTCCCCGTTCCCCCTCCTCTCCCCCTCCTCTCCTCCCCTCCCATCTCTTCCCTCCTCTCTCCCTCCCTCTCTCCCTCCCTCCTCCCTCTCCCTCCTCCATCTCCCTCCCTCTCTCCCTCTCCCTCCCTCCGCTCCCTAGATCCCGCTCCCCCTCCCCCTCTCCTCCCCCTCTCCCCCTCCGCTCTACCCCTCCCTCCCTCTCCCCCTCCCTCCCTCTCTCCCTGCCTCTCCTCCCCCCCTCTCCCTCCCTCTCCTCCTCCCCCTCCTCCCTCCCTCTCTCCCTCCCCCCATTCTCCCTCCCCCTCCCTTCCCCTCTCACCTCCCCCTCTCTCTCCCCCTCTCCCTCCCCCGCTCCTTCCCCTCTCCCTCCCCCTCTCTCTCCCCCCCTCCTCCCGCCCCCTCGCTCTCCCCCTCTCCCTCCACCCTCTCTCTCCTCTCCCACTCATCTCTCCCCCTCTCCTTCTGTACTCTCCCTCTCCCTCTCCTCTCCCTCTCCCTTCGCCCCTCTCCCTCCCTCCTCCCTCTCGTCCCTCCCTCTCTCCTGCCCCCTCCCCCTACCTCTCTCCCTCCCTCTCCCTCCACCACCTCTCCCTCTACCTTCTCCCTTCCCTCTCCCTCTCCCCCTCCCCTCTACCCTTCTCCCTTCCATCTCCTCTCCCTCTCTCCATCTCCCTCTCCCTCTCTCCTCTCTCTCCCTCTCTCTCTCTCTCTCCCTCCTCTCTAATCCCTTCTCTCTCTCCCTCTCCCTCTCTCTCTCTTCCCTCTCTCTCTCTCGCCTCTCTCTCTCTCTCCCTCTCCCTCTCTCTCCTCCCTCCTCTCCCTCTCCCTCTCTCTCCCTCTCTCTCCCTCTCCCTCTCTCTCCCTCTCCCTCTCTCTCCCTCTCTCTCCCTCTCTCTCCCTCTCTCTCCCTCTCCCTCTCCCTCTCCCTCTCCCCCCCTCCCCCTCCCTCTCCCTCTCCCTCTCCCTCTCTCTCTCCCTTCTCCCTCTCCCTCTCCCTCTCCCTCTCCCTCTCCCTCTCCCTCTCTCCCTCTCCCTCTCCCTCTCCCTCTCCCTCTCCTCTCCCTCTCCCTCTCTCCCCTCTCCCTCTCCCTCTCCTCTCCCTCTCCCTCTCCCTCTCCCTCTCCCTCTCTCCCCTCTCCCTCTCCCTCTCCCTCTCCCTCTCCCTCTCCCTCTCTCTCCCTCTCCCTCTCCCTCTCTCTGTTCTCTCTCTCTCTCTCTCTCTCTCTCTCTCGCCCCCCCTCCCCCTCCCCCTCCCCCTCCCCCTCCCTCCCCCTCCCTCTCCCTCTCTCTCTCTCTCTCCCTCTCTCTCTCTCTCTCCCTCTCCCTCTCCCTCTCCCTCTCCCTCTCCCTCTCCCTCTCCCTCTCCCTCCCTCTCCCTCTCCCTCTCCCTCTCCCTCTCCCTCTCCCTCCTCTCCCTCTCCCTCTCCCTCTCCCTCTCCCTCTCCCTCTCCCTCTCTCTGTTCTC